CATCCATCCATCCATCCATCCATCCATCCATCCATCCATCCATCCATCCATCCATCCATCCATCCATCCATCCATCCATCCATCCATCCATCCATCCCTTCCTCCCTCCTCAAAACTTCAAAAGACTTTGAAGTTTTTTGGATGAAAGACAAAACGTTTCAACAAAACCAAACTGTCCAGAGGACCTGACTTAACTTTGTTGGATTTTTCACCTGGATTACTGAGCATGAACTTTGATATATGCTGTGATATTACCTGATTTTATTGTCTTTCACCAGATTTTAATTAATTTTATTGGATTTATTATATTTGTATTCTTTGTTTTACTTTCATGTTTTAAATTTGTGTTCAGCACTTTGGATCTGTACGGTTGTTTAAAGCGCTTTACGAATAAAGTTGGATTGGAAGCTCATGACATTTCAGTGAGGATGGATGTCAGTCTGTTAAGAACTGTGTCCAAAGGTTCCTATAATTTTTATTTATTTGGTGAAGTTCCCGGATGGTTCTGTGCTTTCTCTCGTTATAACTTTCTTTGCCTTTGGTTCTTGGCTGCAGACGTTTCCTCACGTCTTTCTACAGATCCGTGTTTGGACACTTTCTTGTCTCACAGGTCTGTGGTCCAGTTTCCTAACTTCTTGTTTTAGTTGTTTACTCCGACATATAGTAAACTACTGACCATGAAACCTGAAGGAAACAATAGCAGATGTTCAGTTCAGCTGCAGTGTTACAAAGTACATTAATGCAGATTTTCCAGGTCAAATTCCGGATGAAGTGACATGAAATCAAATAAAATTTGCAGAACAAAAAGGACTTTCCACCCTCGCTTTGCATCTCACAGTAATCAGGTAAAAGCTCCTAAAATGAAATGTTAAATTTTCTCTCGTGGCGTTTTCTAGCCTTCCCACGTCTTGAAGTGACTCCTTGGGGTTTTGTGGTGGTTTTAATGGGGAACAAAAATTCCACCAGGCGAAGTGACACCGCTCTTAGTTTGGAGTTGCAAAACTTCGGCTGCCTCTGTTATTTCCTCACATCCTCGTGGAGCTGAGAGAGGTGGGAAATGCGTCAGAGAGATCTCAGACCGGACTCGAACTGGTTCGGGTTGGAAGTGAATTCACCCTGCAGGGCTGTGGTTACGCGTTCACCTGAGGGGACCAGACACGCTGCCTCACATAAAAGAACACAACATCAACAGGAAGTGGCAAAAGCCTCGAAGAACCAATCTACACTTTCATTTTCAAATATTTAAATTCCAACAAAGCAATGAAAGAAATGAATAAATACAATTCCCTCCACCAGAATGATGGAGGGAATGATGGTGGCGCTGCATCCATAATGAGCCCCAGTGTCCGAGTGAAAAGTTATACATTTACAACAGACATAAAATAATTCAAAAAATATGAATACATTAATAAAGTGTTGCTTCAATTAAACAAATAAAATAAAAAAATAATTTTCTCTAATAATGTTGTGTTTAATAGAATTCAAAAATACTTTATTAATCCCAGAGGGAAATTAAATAAATGACTAGAACACAATGCTGAAAAACCTGACGTTGTAAAAGCTAAAGAAAAAATTCACTAAGAGCTAAAGGAAGCAAAAAAGGCTAGCAAGAAGCTAAATGAAACAAAGGGATAGCTAAAGGTAGCTAAAACACTAGAAGCCAAGTATATCAAAGACATAAAAGTAGCAAAAGGCAAGCTAAAAGCTAAACATAGCAGAAGTGTTAACTCAAAAGTAAATAAGTGAAAAGGTAGCTAAAACTAAGAGTATCAAAGTCAGCTGAATGTAGCAAAGTGCTAGCTAAAAGCTAACAGTAGCATAAGGCTAGCTAAAAATAAAGCAGGTTTTGTTGAAGCTGAGTTCAAAAAGAAAAATGTTTGAAGGATCTGAAGAGATCTTCATATTTCTCTGAAGTTTAACGTTTCCAAAAGTCTAAATATCACCAAATCCAAAAGTTGTAACCAGGATGTGATGAATGAGCCGAGTTTTCGGCTACTTTAACATGACTGTAGAAAATTTGAGATGTCAAAACACGTAGAAAATGAAAAGAGGAAAACAACGCTGAGTCAGCGTTTACGCAACTATGGATTAAATAACTGTTTTGTCATGAAGTCATGAAATACCATAAAAACCTGAGTTTTAAAAGATTGAAGTGCAAAAATATGAGGAAATAAAGTTTTTACGTTAAAGTATGAGGAAAAAATGAAAATGTTACGTAGTAGGAGGATCGTATTGATTCAGATTTATGTTCTGACTGTGTTAATAAAGAAATCTGAATAATCCAAGATAACAAAACATTCTGCTGTTAAAATAATCCCAGTGTGTGAAAGAAACAAAAACAAAGAAGTTTGATCCAGTTGATTTTTCAGTCCAGTAAAACCCAACTCTTT